TAATAATAATGATAATTTAATCGTGTGCCTAGTACATATTCTTCGTAAAGTTATAACTACTACTACTACTACTATTAATACTATTGATAATAATAATATATTAATCGTATACTTAAAACATATTTTTTTAAACATATTCTTCGTAAAGTTATAACGTTGCAATTCAACCCAGTAAAGCGAGACTGAGAGATATAATTATGTAAAACATTAAGACTGGGGCTTCCTTTGAAGACACTACTTTCAATCTCTCCATTTAATTACATTCCTTGAATATTACCATCCACCCAGGCGCAAGCTGTGCTGCGTAAATTATGTATTAAACAAGTGGAGATAAATAACATAGTTACCCTCGTCAACTGTGTATTCAGTGGAGACTCGTTGATAAAAATATCCACTGCATCTAAGCAATATTATTATTATTATATTATTATTATTATTATTATTATTATTATTATTATATTATTATTATTATTATTATTATTATTATTATTATTATTATTATTATTCGGGTCATCCTACCTTGGTTGAAAACGGCCGATGTGTTAATAAAATAAAAAAGGGGAGTCTAGCTCCAGTTCCTTGGATTTAGACCTCTTCACCACCCACCTTGAAGGGTTCTCACAAGCCTCTTGAAATTTATATTAAGTTCTTGGTCATCTTCAGGTAATATGCATTTTGATGGACTCATTAATGAACATGCAGGGATTATCATACTAATTATATACACCACTATCTTCACATTATATAAATATTTATATATCCATGAGACTTGCTGCAAGGTGGTAGTAGTAGTAGTAATAATAATAATAATAATAATAATAATAATAATAATAATAATAATAATAATAATAATAATAATATATTAATAATTTTAATAAAAAAATTAAAATAAATTATTATTATTACTAGCAGTAGTAGTAGCAGCTATTAATATTATTATTTAAAAAATAAATTTATACTCTATACAATAATATTTTATTATTATTATTATTATTATTATTATTATTATTATTATTATTATTATAAAGGAAAAGCGCTAAACTAGTGAGAATCATTCAATGAGCGGTGAATGCAATACAGTCAGGTTCAGTACAAGGAGGTTATCTCTAATTCCTTGGATTGAAAGCCCTTCATCATTAAATCATCCTACTGAAGGCATCTCATAATAAAGAAACATAAAACTTACAAATATCTGACTTCGAGATGTATGTCCTAGCAGCCTAGCCATACCCAGTTAAGTCTTAGCAGCCTAGCCATACCCAGCTAAGTCTTAGCAGCCTAGCCATACCCAGTAAAGTCTTAGCAGCCTAGCCATACCCAGCTAAGTCTTAGCAGCCTAGCCATACCCAGCTAAGTCTTAGCAGCCTAGCCATACCCAGCTAAGTCTTAGCAGCCTAGCCATACCCAGCTAAGTCTTAGCAGCCTAGCCATACCCAGCTAACTCTTAGCAGCCTAGCCATACCCAGCTAAGTCTTAGCAGCCTAGCCATACCCAGCTAAGTCTTAGCCATTCAGGGCTTCCTCAGAATCACAGTCATCTCTTGCTAGGACAGTAACTGTCCTAGCAGATAGGTCTTGGTCATTCAGGTCTTCCTATGAGGATACTCCTATCAGAAACCTATCTAAACCCTGAACAATACACAAATAACCCACTCATTGAAGAGTGGAGCTTACGACGACATTTCGGTCCGACTTGGACCATTTAGTCACACTAACGAGAGGTACAGCAGGACGGGTATATATAGGCAGGAAGTAGTAGTAGTAGTAGTAGTAGTAGTAGTAGTAGTAGTAGTAGTAGTAGTAGTAGTAGTAGTAGTAGTAGTAGTAGTAGTAGTAGTAGTAGAAGTAGTAGTAGTAGTAGTAGTAGTAGTAGTAGTAGTAGTAGTAGTAGTAGTAGTAGTAGTAGTAGTAGTAGTAGTAGTAGTAGTAGTAGTAGTGGCGGAGGTGGAAGGAAGTAGTGGTGGGGAAGTAAGAAGGAGCCAGTCAAATACTAAGAAAGGGGAGCATTGCAAGGGAGCTAGGTGCCCACAGAGGGAGAGCAAGAACACAGAGGTGGGGGGAGGATAATAAAATAAATAATGAAGGAACAGAAACACAAGGCAGAAGAAAGAAGGACAACCCAGAAGAGAAAAAGGAAAGAGGAAAGGGGAAGAGGGAGAAGAAGAAAAAGGAGGAATCAGGTTAAAGTCAAGGGTGTTCTGAAGTTTGGAGCATTTTACAATGTAGTGGGAAAGGAAGGCATCTACAGAGACGAAGCCAGGACTAAGATTCATACAAGGAAAGTTGTGTATTAGGGAGGATTCAACCAGACGGCGACTGTTCAAGTTGGAAGTAGGGAAGACAGTTTTAGCAGAAGACCAGTCAATAGGATGGCTGTGATCTCTGACGTGACAGAAACGAGCATTGTTAGTGTCGGCAAGCCTAACACTATTTTTGTGCTCCCTAAGTCTGTCAGAAAGAGATCGGCCAGTTTCTCCAAAGTATTGAAGAGGACAGGAGGAGCAAGAAATAGAGCAGACACCAGGAACATCTGTAGAGGGAGGAGAGGCATGAACGAGATTAGTGCGAAGAGTGTTAGTCTGGAGTTTACCTGGAGAGAGTTCCGGGGGTCAACGCCCCCGCAGCCCGGTCTGAGACCAGGCCTCCTGGTGGATCAGAGCCTGATCAACCAGGCTGTTGCTGCTGGCTGCACGCAAACCAACATACGAGCCACAGCCCGGCTGATCCGGAACTGACTTTAGGTGCTTGTCCAGTGCCAGCTTGAAGACTGCCAGGGGTCTGTTGGTAATCCCCCTTATGTGTGCTGGGAGGCAGTTGAACAGTCTCGGGCCCCTGACACTTATTGTATGGTCTCTTAACGTGCTAGTGACACCCCTGCTTTTCATTGGGGGGATGGTGCATCGTCTGCCAAGTCTTTTGCTTTCGTAGTGGGTGATTTTCGTGTGCAAGTTCGGTACTAGTCCCTCTAGGATTTTCCAGGTGTATATAATCATGTATCTCTCCCTCCTGCGTTCCAGGGAATACAGGTTTAGGAACCTCAAGCTTGATGTCTAAGGAACGGAGAGAGTTGTTGAGATTAGAAAGACCGGAAATGTAGGGAAGGCAGGACAGAAGAGTTCCCAGGAGTAAAGAGTTTGGGAGAGAAGAAATTACGTTTAGCACGTGAGAGGGCAGAGTCTATGAAATGGGGACGGTAGTCAAGACGGGAAAACGAATTATGAAGAGTGGAAATTTCTGCTGGAAGGAACTGAGGATCACAGATGCGGAGGGCACGGAGAAAGAGGGAGATAAGAACACTTTTCTTGACAGGGGAAGCATGATAGGAAAAGTAGTGAATGTACATGCCACTGTGCATAGGTTTGCGGTAAACGGAAAAGGAAAAACCTGTATCCGAGCGGTGGACATGGACATCAAGGAAAGGAAGCAAGGAATTAGATACCCATTCAGCTTTAAACTTAATGGAAGGGGCAAGATTATTAAGAGCGTCAAGAAAAGGTTGGAAGAGACTAGTCATGAAGCCACAGAGCAAAGATGTCAGCTACATAGCGGAGCCAGAGTGAAGGGCGCACATCGGTGGTAGGAAGAACAGTCTCGACGGACCGAAACGTCGTCGTAAGCTCCTCTTTTCCATGTGCGGGTTATTTGTGTATCGTTCCAGTCACGGTATTGTGCCTTTTTTTGTTATTCAAACCCTGAACATTTGTAAGTGTGTGCGTGTGTGTGTGTATCAGTACATCAAGCATGTACTTGTAGATGAAAAATATACAACCTTCTGAACCATTTATAAGTTCTATTTTCCTTCAACTGTTTGATAATAAATTCACCATAATTAAGTTTTCAAGATCTAATACTTTAAAGACAAGAAATAAAAAGCCATGAAAATGACACTGTCTAAGCATCATTGGGAATTTCTTGTGCTTATTACGAGACATATCTCGGGTCTGCTTTTTAAAGAATGCATGTAAATACGCTGGAGATGCTAAATCTATTGTATAAGGAATCATTCCTACGAAGATAGATTAAGAGTCCTGAAACTACATTTCCTGAGAGGTGCAGAACGATGAGAAATAAGAATATAGTGTACAAATTAATGACAGGAATAAATAAGAGTGATGTAATTACAGTGCCAAAGAAATTTAACCAATAAAAACTCGAAATAATAAAGTCAGGTTGGAAATAAAGATTCAGAATGAATACAAGAAAGCATTTTTTTTAAATAAAAATATTGTAAATGAGTGTAGCACAGCGGCAAGTAACATGACTGAAGCTCTGAAAATGCATCACACAGTTTATGAGTGAAAAATGTTGTGAGTAGGACCTGCATAGCATGAGTCAGTAGGCCTCCTCCAGTGTTCCTGCATCGTGTACGCTTGTGTTGTTCTTACAGCTGTGTATTAGAGGTAACACTCACCAATCACCAGCTTCATTACCAGTGTCTGTATTGTGAAGGGGCAGTTCTATTTACTGTCCATTTGTTACTGTGCTACTGCGCGCGAGCACGCACGCACGCGCGCACACATACACACACACACGCACACACACACACACACACACACACACACATACACACACACACACACACACACACACACACACACACACACACACACACACACACACACACACACACACACACACAGGGAGCGACCCACCAGCGGCCAGTGAAGAGGCGGGGCCAGGAGTTATGACTCGACCCCTATAACCACAACTAGGTGAGCACACACACACACCCCCCCCCCACACACACACACGCACACGCGCGGTATCTGCAACTATATCTCCTGAAAATAATCATAAAGGTGAATAAGGAACACTAAACTATAGATAAGTATCACAGCCATATATACTATCTAAAGTATTTTAATGATTATCAGAGTTTAGTGAGGGGTAAATCCCTGCCTCTCATGAGACATCAACTGTAGGTCAAAATATATACATTTGATGTTTTTACTGCCAACATGTGAGTATTGTATAAATGATAACGTGATAAGAGGCACCCACCTGCACCATGATGCTGGGGTGGAGTTAAGTCACTGTCTCACAGTTCACATCTTCCGCTCAAGGTCCAACCTAACATTTCAAAAATGCTCCCAGTGATTGTTAAATCTATCCATTTTCTCGTTGAATTAAGAATTTACTGCGTTTTCAAACAAGCTTTTTCTCCGAGATGAATTTTATAATATACTTTTGTATTCATTATAGATGGCCCCTTGTTTTCCTGTCTCAAAAAAGCAACATTTCTCCCAACAATTTCGTCCCCCACAACACCATATTTGTCTCCTCACATTGTTGAATATTTCTGCTTTAATATCCCTCTATTGATGTTTGAGCCGGTGATAGTGTCGTCTGCTCTTCTCTCTTGTTTTACTCTCTCCTCTTTGCTTTTAAATTTGATTAATCAAGAGGTTGGTGACTAAATGACAAAACATAAGAGACGACGACTCCTCTCAATCCCCTTCAACTTGACTTACAATATATAAGTTGTAGCACTTGGTTTTATTTTCCTGGTCTCCTAATATCATCACCAGCTACTTACTGGAGACACGTGGACTAAGCTGTCTCCAAGGTAAACCTTGAACAAGCTGATGAATTTAGGAGTAAGATGATGCCCTAAGTCAGGCACGCGACCACACTACCAGACACTGGAGCCACTGCATTAATGGAGTAACTACGTTATAAAGACCCTAAAATACGACTTATGAAAGCTTGGTTCCTCAGAATTCGTTCGTAATACTCGAGGTTAGTGTTCACAATGGTGGACGAAGAGGCAGTGCCACTGAGATGTAGGAGAGGAGACACTGCCAGCAAACCTTCCTCACTAAACGATAATAAACATTGAACTGAATCAGAGGCTGCCGGCATGCTGCTCACCATTGCCTGACGTACGATCACTTCTATTCCTCTGCTGCCTGACGCACGATCACTATATGTGCCCCCCCCGCTGTCTGACGTACGATAAGCCCTTAACACCCACGCCTTCAAGTTTTATAAAATAAATACAATCCTCCCACTTTCCCTTATAAATGTATACAACATCATAAAGAAATGATGATTTTTCTACTTTATGGACAGCGATCCTTTCATCTGAAGCTTTTAATTAATGAAGGAAATCGAATAAAGAGAGTAAGTCTGGACGCGGACATATTGATTCCCAGGTAGTCACTCCAAACATAATTTTTCACTGCGTATCGTCCATTTTCTCCCCAAGTTTTGAAGAAAATAAGCAGCATTTCGAGAAATCATGAAGGGAAACACATAAGTTCCCAGAAAATCTATTCCATGCGCGTCATTCACGAAAAGAATTCATGATCGATAAAAGAACTAAATTCAGTATTGACCATCGACCCATGACTTTAACGACGCCAGACCAGAATTTTCGGCGCCAGATTATAGATAAAAAATACAGCCAAATTCTGCCATAGCGGAACTTTTAAGGTTTATGGTACTTAATCCACAAGAAGTAGCCTTTGCAACGCTACAAGCCACGGTACAACTAGTCTTCAGAAAACCCATAAACAAACCTTGAAAATTCCACGACTTTTTTTTAAATATTTCCACCCTTCTGAAGTGGGACTTGATGCTGGTGATTAAAATCTTGATCCAAGGAACTTTACTACCCCTCCCACGGCATGGTCCCCATCCTCGGATTAAAATTACGTGACTAAGGGTTCAGCGTTTCCATTATGAAGGTAGTAGTAGAAGTTTTCAACTCAGAGTTTAATGTTACATGAGTGTTTTCAAGTCTACTCCGCCTCCTCATCAATTGCTTCCTACACTTCTTCTCTTCTGACAGTTTAATGAGTTCCTGTCTTCATTTCCACTGGTGGACCATTGATGGTCCTCCAGTGTGGTCTTGACGATCAGGTCACTGGTCCACCAGTGTGGTCTTGAATACATGTATGTGTGTATGTATGTATGAATGTATATATGAATGAATGTATGTATATATACATGCATGCATGTATATTTGCATGTATGTATAATTTCTAAATTCCTAGATTATTATTATTATTATTAGTAGTAGTAGTATTCATAAGATATTACTAAAATAAGTTAGATATTATTTAAAGTGCATTCATTTGATGAGGTAAGATGTTTGTGGAGCTGAGACACAGACGTGTGGAACACTGAGTGTGTGGGAGTCATGCGAGTCTGTGTACCTCAAGGTGCAATCTTTAATTGGTGGTAATGATGTACGAGGTGTGGCGTAGCACTCTGCAGTATAAGCACTGGCACATTATCACTGAAAGATAAATGCTATTGCTTGTTAAGAAGGGATGAAATGTTCCAGACTAAATTAAAATGTTACTTCACACGCTACTTGTGTGTGTGTACTCACCTATTTGTACTCACCTATTTGTGGTTGCAGGGGTCGAGTCACAGCTCCTGGCCCCGCCTCTTCGCTGATTGCTACTAAGTACAAGGTTTGTATAATGTATCCATACTTATAATAACTACTCTGACTTGTCAAAATTATCGTACAAAGTAAATATCCAAATAATGCTGATCATCGAGGCTGTAGTTCAACAGTCATGGTGTGTGTGTGTGTGTGTGTGTGTGTGTGTGTGTGTGTGTTGTGTATGAGTGACGCAACACTTTCTTTTCCTCTAGTAAGATGCACCAGATATCCTTTATACATTATGGAGTGTAGGTGCCAGTATATATAAACTGAGATATTCATGTCTCTACGAATACACACCTGTATGTATATCAGAGTATATACACTGGTTATTTTATAATGGTCACTTTGAAGGTTGAAACATTCTTTATGTTAATGTACGGCGCATTATAGTCTAAATAACTCACATTCAGTGGAGAGGCTTTAAACAAGTTGTCAGGAAGATCTCTCTCTCCATCGCTAAAATCTGGAGATTCTTTTAAAACTTTTGGAAATCGAAAGCATCTTGTAAGACTTTCTGAAATCTGAGGCGTTTTTCTCCAAAGACTTTCTTGATATCAAGTGGGTCTTCCTCCTATGACATTTTATCTCCCCTCCCATTCGTAAGTCATGATAATCTGGAAAACCTGACTAAAATTTCGCAGTGTATGTAAATTCTTGGCGAGTAATTGCGATTTTATTCTTAACCACTATTTAAGTATTGGATGTCTCTGTGAATACAAGGAAGCTGAGGCTTCCTTGTATAAATTTGACCATGACTGTTGAACTACAGCCTCGATGATCAGCATTATTTGGATTTTTACTTTGTACGATAATTTTGACAAGTCAGAGTAGTTATTATAAGTATGGATACATTATACAAACCTTGTACTGTTAAATTGAGAAAATACACTAATATATAATTTTGTTTACTTAAAAATATCTCATACCACGCAAGGTACAAGTGCAAAATAGAACGTTGCATGGTCTTGCTTAGACACTGCGCTGCCAGACGTGACGATGCCTTTTTTTTAATAGCTTATATACGTTAAGATATATGTTTTATCAGTTTATTTAACGTACCCTGCCCTAACAAAAGAATAAAAATCGGTTAATGACAGAGTACGTTCAGAAACTGACGCTGGAAATCACTTAAGAAAGCCAAGGTTGAAAATCAAAGTTGATTTTTGAAGTCGCAACTCGTCTTAAATTCAGTCTCCATCCTAACTCTACCTCGCCGCCTCCCATTTTGAGACGGAAAGGAAGGAATGTAGAACCACAAGAAACTTATTCAATCAGTGAAGGAATGGCAGCAGAATCACGATAGAGTTTACTAATGCAGAGAGTGCAGAGCTGCCAGACGTACTTCCTGTGTGGCGCTGCCAGAGAGAACGGGTTTGCCAGACGTACTTAAGGTGGCAGCGCTGCTTTGACATGCATGGCAAGTTCAGCAATAAAATCTGATTATAGTGCATGTCATTTGCATGTTATTTTTATAAAAGAGCGGAGGGAAAGAAATGCATCAGCGATATTCCCAACTGCGCTGAAATCAGACATATATGTCAGAGAGGAAAAAGTTACCCATCTCTGGACACTGGGCTGTAAGTCCGCCTCAATTTCAATTTTGTCTTTTATTATTCTCTCGAATCGTCAATATATCTATATAAAAAAAGCAAGATCATCAGCCATTAATAACTACCGTAACGCGTGTATCGTCTGCATCTGACAGGTGTGAGACACATGTAATGGATATCGCATTTTGTTATGAAATGCGAGGCTACAATGTTATTGATGATATATATGATTGAGTGGCGAAGTGCCAAACCCGTACGGGTCATAGAGCACCTGGTGAGTAGAAAGCAATCATGTTTGATCAGAGAAAAGGGAGAGCAGCTCCATTTCCACAGATCAAAAGATATTTATATTAAAGCAATATTCAACCTCCTAGTAATGAAGACAACTTGTCGGAAATTGTCAGCGTATGTGAAGCGAAAGTTGTGTCTCCATCAACACCCTAGTTGATATGTCTGTGTATATACACCCAGAGGTGTGTATCTCGATTTATATTCACCGAGGTGTAGCAGTGTTTATATACCTAGAACTGTGTATTTGTATATACCCCGAGAGGTATATATCTTACTGTGTATATATCGAGGGATGTATATGCACCGAGTGATGTATTTATATAAACTAAAAAAGTGTGTATCTTTATATAAACTAAAAAATGTTTCTTCATAAACACCGAGAGGTGTATATCACAGTATTTTTACACCCAGAGGTGTATATTTCTGTGAATATACACCGAGGCGCTCGTATCCCTCAGCATATATACAATAAGTTTGCTTTAATCCCTATTTTGGAGGTAAAAAATATTCTTGACTGGTGAACACTGCCGTTAAGAGCCTCGCAGCGTCCAGAGTTTCAACCCTAACAGTCTAACATGGAGGAATGAAACAATGGGCGAAATCCTCTCTCATTGTCTCCATGTTCGTGTGAGAACTGTATCATGGTATTATCCTTAATGGTGAGAGGCTCACACTCCCTTTCTAAGGTACACTGGAGCGAGTATCCTCAGTCCTGGAAGATCACAGCATGTAAAATGTGATCGTCTTAAAATGGTGGTTAAAACAGAGTCAAGATCCGAGGTTTGTCGTCCAAGGCGAGTGTTTAACCTCTATTTCCTTTGTCTCTCTGAACACAGAAGTTTAATAAACACTGACAGTGTATGTTAAACTTTTGTGTTCAGAAACACATGCAAAACAACAAAGAAAATAAAGGTTAAAATGGTGGTGAAACAGAGTAAAGATCCAAGGTTTGCCGTCCACAGATTTAGATTATCAGGGGGAGAGGGGTGCGCTAAACCCAATTCAGGGAATTGGAGCACAGATCCCTAGATCAAGATCCCCTCACCAGCATCAAGGGACCTCCTTTGAGGGGATTTGTCGTCCACAGATTTAGATTATCATGGGGGGCAGGGGTGCGCTAGACCTAATTCAGGGAATTGGAGCACAGATCCCTAGATCAAGATCCCCTCACCAGCATCAAGGAACCTCCTTTGAGGGGGTTTGTCGTCCACAGATTTAGATTATCATGGGGGAGGGGGCAGGGGTGCGCTAAACCCAATTCAGGGAATTGGAGCACAGATCCCTAGATCAAGATCCCCTCACCAGCATCAAGGAACCTCCTTTGAGGGGATTTGTCGTCCACAGATTTAGATTATCATGGGGGAGGGGGCAGGGGCGCGCTAAACCCAATTCAGGGAATTGTAGCACAGATCCCTAGATCAAGATCCCCTCACCAGCATCAAGGAACCTCCTTTGAGGGGGGGAGGGGGTTGTCGTCCACAGCGAGTGTCTTTAAGAGGAACACACTTACGTCCTGTGATCCTCGACGACTGAGGATACCCGCTCCAGTGATCCCTAGAGAGGCAACGTGAGTCTTCCACCATTAAGAAGGATACCAGGACACTCCTCACACCACC